ATATATATATATATATATATATATAATCCTAGTAGCATAACAGGAGTAAAGGCATGTTACCCTCAGACCGGCTCCAATCTCACAAGCGCACGCCAACATGCCCCAGCTGGATGACCCAGTTGACACTGGTGCAGACAGACGACAGCAAAGAGGCTGCAGCTTTCAGCAGCAGCAAATGAACAAACACAGCGGGAGCAGCAGCCTGTTTTAATGCTTCCTGTTGGAGAGTCAGCGGCTGTGAGCTAAACAGGCAACGCTGACAGGGACAGTAACTATTAGGGTCAACGATCTGATGGCTGATTTCAGAATAACAGATTACTTACAGGAGATATCACCTTTATATAAAATAAAATAAGGACAGCCAAAAAGGCAACTAACTGCCAATTTCATTAATAATGAAAAACATGAAAAAACAGAAAGTTACAGATGGCGACTACAGTTAAACTTTCCCCCCTTTCATTTTATGAATAGACAGATTATTCTGAAGTTTTCAGGGCATTCAGCAATTTTCTTGTCAGTTCTTCTGTCTCTTGATTTGCACGCCGTTTCCATGCGGTTGTCCTCTTTTTGACTTGCCACATTTTCAAAGAGCCGCAGATGCAGCACCCAGATGCTGCAGGCCTCAGAGACAGATGATAAAGATGAGAAGAGACACAATAAAGGTGGAATTTCCATGGAGCTGTGTTCCCCCTCCGCTTCGGGAGACACTCATTCACACAGCTGGGCAGCAGGCTCTGGGACAAATGTGCACAATGTGCAACCCATGTCCCATGCCTGCAGTCTTTATTCTGTAGAGTTTGTTTTAAGAACACCCAGCTGCTTTTACAACACATAATATGCTCCATTAGCACTCTGGTACTCACGGCATAAGACTGAGCTTCCCTCCTGATTTGACTCCTTCTCTTTTCTGGACATAGTTGGCTGGGATGGTGCCCTCTCTGCCCACAGTGTTTCTTGCTTTGTACCAGTTTGGATCCTAAAAGGGTTAAACACCAAAACAGTTGACTTATATCTGGAAGGCGGGGGGGTAATGAGTAAACCATCCCAATAGTCAAATGAAATGACTGCTGGTTGGAAAATCCTATTAGTGTGCTGAAATTGTTGGAGTCAGTAATAATTACTAAGAGTAACGATCAGATTTTCAATCTTGAACTGCTTTTCTGCTGCTAATTAAAAGAAAAAAGGAATAAAGGTCCTGTCCAAACTGCTCCTTATTGCTGCAGCTGGTGGCTAATATCCATGAAATATCAGAAGCTGATGGGTTTGAAATGTTTTTTTAAATTTCTTTTAGTTTTAATTAAGTTAATTTATCTGAAAAAAGAAATTGCAGAAAACCTTAAAGTCATACATTAGAACTTTTAATCTCATAAACAATTATTTGACATTAGAAAGTTGATTATTTGTTTACATCGCTAAGGCAAACACACAACACCATCTATATGATAAATAATGGTCCAGTTCTGAGGCTCATATACCCACTGTTTGTTCCTTTGGGCGCAGACATGGGTCAGCATGGACCGGTCTGCAGCTATTTAGGCAGCAAACTGCATTTCACTGACTCCTCTCTATCAAAACCAGCCTGTTGCCTTTTAAATTGAACACTGTCCTAATTAAGACTACAGCTCTTATTTGTTCCATCTTGTGAAATGGGTTTATGTATGTTTTTCTAAACATTAGTCTCTCTGAGGTTTTCTTACCCTGGTGACTCCAATAATGGTCAGCACATCTCCTTTACAGAAAGGCAGGTCCTGTTCAGTGCCAGGCTTGAAGTTATACTTGGCCACGCACTCTGTGCCGGACGACCATGGCACCTGCTATGCAGAAAAATCACAAAAAGAAAGACCTCTGATTAGTGGAGCTCAGTGCAGATAGAGAATAAAGCTGAAAGTCATAATAAACAGATGTTATTTTAATAAATGTCACTACAGAACTTCTAAACACTCAAAGCTGAAACTTTATAACTGCACAGAATGTTGCATGAACGCTAAACAAAGGGAAAGAAATGATCTGTGTGCAGCTCTATGCATTCAGTGCCTGTAGTAAACACTGTGCGGTGGGGGAGGGGAGGATGTAGTGTTTGAATTTTCATATCCTTAAAACTGCTGAAATAGTTTCCTCTGAAAGCTCCACATGAAATCATCCTTAAATAAAGTGGATACCATGAAATAAGATACAGCAGGTGTTGGTCAGTGGCTTTGTTCCCCAGAAGAAACAAAGAATAAATCAGGCAGAACATCACAGACTGGAAATTAAAAATAAGGATATAAACAACTGCATTAACTTTATAACAAAAACCCAAGTGAATTCTTTACAGCCATCTAGGTTTTCCTCTAGGATGCTTAAGTTTGATCTAGAAGTCTCAAAAAGCACAATCTCTGAAATAGGGCTGCAACAACGAATCGATAAAAATCGACTTTTAAAAGCGTTGGCAACGAATTTCATCATCGATTAGTTGTGTCGCGCGATTAATGCGTCATCCGCCGCCGCCATCATCACTGCCACTTGACTGAAAAGGGGGAAGAAAAAAAAAAAATACGGCAGAGCGAGCCAGCGCTGCAGGTGCGCAGTGTTGCCAACTCAGCGACTTTGTCCCTATATTTAGCGACTTTTCAGACCCCTCCAGCGACTATTCTTTAAAAAAAGCCACTAGCGACAAATCTGGCGACTTTTGGAGACTCTTACATGAAAGCATGTATCGTTCCTAACCTTGTCCTGCAGCAGCAGCTGCTGCCGTGAGGCGCCTCCCCCATCCCAACCCTGTTCTCCCGCAGGAGTCCCTCTCAGCGCTGCAGTCAGAG